GGTCAGAGGACTTAAAGCAGGAATGAAGGGAAGGACAGTCCCCCAAAGAGGTGAGTCTATATAGCATGCAGGGTAGGTTTGGAGGAAGGATTGGGAAATCTTTGTTTTCTAACTCTGCTGTGCCAAATTTAGGATTCCGACTATACTCAATCAGTGTTTCCCATCTCAAGATGGTAGGAAACGGTGCTCTCAATTTTCAGCAATTGTGACCAGATGCTTGGGTTGCCCCGAGGAAATTGGAAGGCTGCAGGTCCTGAGAATCACATGTTGCCCACGTCTGATTTCTTGTTTTAAGGTCATTCGTGACCTTCAGAGGCTAATTTCATGTGGCTCTCAGGCCAACTGCAAACACATTAGGTAAGCATTCAACTGGGACCATGGATAAAAAGGCCCTTGGAAGAGAGGAATATAGTTTAATGTAAACACATGTGTTAATAGAAAAAATTACAGAGATTGCAGGATTGGAAAGAACACAAATAGATGTACTTTAAATGTTTAAATGATTGTGATTGGAATTTAGAAGTGTATATTGAGACATTGAATAATGAAGAGAATGAAGGATGAAACTTTAATATAAATAGATATGAAGAGCTAAATAAAGGAAATATGAATAATAAAATAGGTGAAAGATGGGAAATAGAAAAGAAACATCTTCGAATATTATAGTGATATTGGGGGGAGTTAATATAGAGATAGAAATAAGAGGGGAATAATTGTGTGTGTGTGTGTGTATCAGTGGTCGGTTTCAAAATTTTTTAAAACTTCTTCTGTAGGTATGACCTGCTTTGCGGGAGTGGCTTGCCAGCCATGTGACTGGGTGGGAGTGGCTTGTCGGCCATGTGACTGGGTGGGAGTNCTCTGGTAGTGTGAGGCATCCATCCCTGGAGTCCTCAGTCCTAAGTGAAGTTTCTGTAGGGGAGGAGCTGGACCAGGATGATTAGGAATTGTCGGAAGATGAAAATCTCCTGCCCGATACCCCTGCGTTCTCAGGATTATTCAGGCCCACTACCTTCAAGTCCATTTTGCACAAGGCTAAGGCCATCACGCAACTTGGTGTGTCCCCCCAGACTGGTCAGGGAACCCCCGGAACGGATGCTCCTAATCCCAGGGACAGCATGTTCAAGAAACAGGCTCCGGCCCAGGATTTGGTCCCGATGCCTGAACTGTTTTTGGACGTGGTGCAACGCCAATGGGCGCAACCGGGCTGCCTAACTGCACCCAGTGGAGGGGAGAAGAAGCTGTATTCAGTGGAGGATTCATTGGAGAATATTCTCAAACTGCCCCCTGTAGATTCCCTCATGGCCTCCTTGACGTCTAACTCAGTGCTTCCGGCTGACCTCATGGAAGGCCTCAAGTCTGAGGATAGGAAGGCAGAAAAGGGTTGTCACAAGACTCATCAAGCGGCTGTTTGGGCCATTAAGGCTTCTACCTCTGCCTCATTCTTTAATAGGGCTTCCATCCTGAGGCTGAAAGACCTGCTGGCCAAGCTGCCTGCAGAGGACACACGTCTACGCCAAGACGTAAAAAAAATCATCGCAGCATCGCAGTACTCAGCGGACGCTTCTTTGAATGCGGCCAAATTTGCCTCCAGGGCGCTGGCTTCTAATGTAACTTCCAGGCGCCTGCTTTGGCTCTGCCATTGGCAGGTGGATATAAAGTCAAAGTGGAAGCTTGCAGCTGCCCTCTTTAAAGGGGACAAGTTGTTTGAGGAAACCTTGGATTTGGTGTTAGTGGAATCCAAGGACAAGAAGAAGGTTCTTCCCACCAGTGCCAAGAAGCAGGAAAGGAAGTCTCACCCCTATTTTAGGAAGCAGTCCTTTCGGGCGTCTGACTCCTTGTTGAACGCCCCAGGGTTCAACAGGTCGTATTCCCAATCCTCTGACAGGGCCCAGGACAGGCAGTCCTTTCGGGATAGGGGCAGGCAGCAGTACCCCTACCGCAGGTCTAACCGTGGGGGAGCCTCACAGAGGCCATTCAGGAAAACAAAGTGACCCGCAGGGGCCATGTCCCATCGGAGGGCAACTCCAGCAGTTTGCCAACCAATGGGAACTCACCACGTCGGACCTTTGGGTCCTGCAGACAGTGGGGCAGGGCCTCACCCTTGAGTTCCCTTTCTTTCCCCCGATAAACTTTGTTCGCTGCCCCACACCTTCTTGCCCCACCAAGAGGGCACTCATGCAAAAGGAAATTCAGCATCTACTGGACATCAATGCCATAGAACCAGTACCAGAGGACCAGGAGGCAAGAGGATTTCACTCCATCCTCTTCCTGGTACCAAAAAACTTGGTTGGGGGATGGCGCGCAATATTAGACCATCCTGGTGGGGATAAGGCACGGGGATCTTCTCACCTCAATAGACCTAAAGGAGGCATATTACACATTCCAATTCGGCCACATCATCGAAGGTTCCTGGGGTTCTTCTACGCGGGCTGACATTATCAATACAGGGCCATGCTCTTCGGCCTGTCATCAGCGCCCAGGACCTTCACCCAAATTCTCTTGGCTGTTGCAGCAGATCTGCAGTGAAGGCCCGTTCAACTGGTTTGCTACCTGGACGACATCCTGGTACAGTCATCGTCCAGGGAGCAGGCAGTCCGCGACCTCCGCACCACCATGAGAAGCCTCCAGGAACACGGATTCTCTGTGAACCTGGAGAAGAGCCACTTGTAGCCAACTACCAGGTTCCTACACCTAGGGGCAGTGATAGACACCCAAGCTTGCAAGGTTTACCTATCGCAGGACAGGTTAGCCAGCCTGAGGGCCCTGGTCCTCAAGGTGCAGGGAGCACGGAGGGTGCCGGTGGTTTGTCNGACTTTCCCCAGATTAACCTCAGTCTTCGGCCCAGAAGGAGTACTTTCCTGACTCTCCCTTCACTTCAAAGTCCTAGCTTTCAGCAACTCGACTATTTTATCGGATCACCTCTCCTCATTCGGGCTTCGCCAGTTGCTAGCTCTCAAGCAGTGCCGCTGCACTAGCGCAAAACCCGAGCAGCCAGACGGTCGCAGGGGGGGGGGGACGGTTTTCCCTAGCCGTGAGCTCCAAGGAGATCCAGTCAGCGAGGGATCACAGGAAACCAAGAGTCGGCAGAGGACAGCCTTCCAGAGCTTTTCGAAGGTTGGAGTGGCAGACTCGGACTGCATGTTCGACGGTCGCCATCTTGGACCCTGGCCATCTTGAAGAAGCACGTGAGTGGAGCACGTGGTCGGCGTGCCTGGTTACGGATGCTGTGGGCGCCCAGAAGCCATTGCCGGATCCAGAAGGCAGTTACTGGGGCCGGAACTCCGCCGGTAATCCGGGGAGGGCCCAGCTGTTGGTGGGCTGGCATTTGGGCTGCGGATCGGCGGCAAGCTCGGGAGGTGCATGGAGCCTTAAAGTGGCAGGACGTGCAGTCGAGCTGAGGCCGGCACAACAGGAGGTGGTGGTGAACGTGACCATGAGGTACAGCATGGCTGAGGCCACAAGGAGCGGGGGACCGGCCTGCCCTAGATCCCCAGGGGAGTCGGACCCAGGCAAGGGGACCTCCAGGGGGGTTCCTCCAGTCACCAGAGGGAGGTCTTCTGCCAAGAAGAGCATCTCCAAGACCGCTAGGAAGGAGATCCCCAGCAAGGAGGTGCGGATCACCAGGGCCTCCAAGAGGAGGACTAGGGACATCATCAGCCCGTCCCAATCTAGATCTTGCTCTCCTCGCAGCCTTCCCACACTGGAGGAGGCCCAGCCTGATTCCCCAGGATCCCCAAGGGGCTCTAACAGAGGGCACAGCTCCCTATCACCCCCTCTATCGCCTGCTCATTCCTCGGGGGCACAGGGCGATCCCTTCGGTCGCAGAGTCCCTAGCCCCACCAGGCGCCAGGTGGCTCCGCAATCACCAGACTCAGGAGCCCCATTGCAACCTCCCGATCTTCCCCCCTCCCTCCCAGAGCTCCCTGAAAGTTTTCAGGAGGCTTTAGCCAGAGCCATCACACAGAGGATCGCCACGGGGATGAAGCACCAGTCCCAGGGCTCCAGGAGAAGGTCTTCCCGGTGGAACCCTAGAGGACATTGAGACCAACCCGGGTCGCCTGTTCCCAGAGAGCCCAGGTCATCCTCTCCCTCCACCGCCAGCATGGGCTCAGATCTAGAAGAGGGGGAACTGAAGGACATTGGGTTTTCGGAAGACGAGGACTCCCAGGTCCTTGAGGCGCCCAATATCACCGGTCTCTTCCCTCCCTCCTTGTTTAGCTCCTTGTTACGTAAGGCAAAGGCCACGGCAGACCTGGACAACCATCCAGATCCCACCCAAGCTGCTGCTACCCCTGGCACGAGCGGGGGTAACAAGAAGGGGCCCTTCCACAGGCCCCAGGTGGAGAAGGAGGAGATCCCCACCCCAGACCTCTTCCTAGAGGTGCTTAAGTCCCAGTGGGTTAAACCAGGCTCCTTCCCCAACCCGGGGAGCAATGACCGCAGGTTCTACAACCTTAATGCTACCTTCGCCCAAGCTTTACAGGGTCCTCCAGTGGACACTACTGTGTCCTTTTTCAACAAATCTACCCTGCTATGGCTGGAGCAGCTTTGGGACAGGAAACCGGCGTCAGACGTGAGGCTGCGGCAGGACATCACCAAGTTAATGGCAGCCACCCAATTCTCGGCTGACGCCACCTTAGATGTGGTAAAGTATTCTTCTAGAGCCTTATCTTCCTCAGTAGCATCCAGGCGCTTACTGTGGCTGCGCCATTGGCAGGCTGAGTCCTGGGCAAAATGGCACCTGGCAGGAGCAGATTACACCGGGGACAAGCTCTTCGGCTCATCGCTGGATCCCATCCTCATGGAAGACAAGAACAAACGTAAGGTCTTCCCGGCCACGAACAGACGTTCAGACCACGGACCGGCTCCTTACCCCAGGAGAACATCCTATCGTCCTCCTGAGTCGGAGTTCCAACAACAGGTACCCTGCACCCAGATTCCCCAGGCAGGGAGATAGGCAATTTTCCAGGGACAGATTCAGGAGACAACCGCAGGGCAANGAATGACCTCACTGGCTTGCCTGAGACCGGAGCCTTCGGCAGTCTGCCCCATAGCCATGAGCTGGCACGCCCTGCCACCCTTTTCACGGCTGCTGGTCAGTGTGCTTTTTGCAAATACTGGAAGGCTTTTCCTTGACGATTAAATATTTGCTAAAGCTCACCCTGCCCATTTTTTTCCCACTGCTACTAATTGTGCCATTTAGCTACTGTGGCACTTGGTGTTTTGATAGTAAGAACCATAATGTTAGTCTTTATGCTTTCCTCGGTTTTCTGTCTGGAAACCTGAACAGGTAGGTCTTACCTTAATACAGGGGTTATGAGAAAAAACTAATCGAGACACTTAAAACATGTGGTGCTTAAATTACATTTTACCCTGGAAGTATTTTTGTTTTGAGAGTTGTCATTCTTTTGATGTGAAATATACTCATCATTCTCCTCCTCGTCGTCCCCCTTCTTTTTATTTTAATCTATTATCCTGTCCTCTCTCTTGCAGGTGTCGTCCAACCAGGCAATGCCTCCTCCTTTGCTCCTGCCGCTGCTACTCATGGCTCTTTCCTCAACCCCAGCCCCCACATTGGTAAGACCCGATGCCCCAGAGTAATGCAGCCAAGAGAACAGGATCCAGTAACTCTCCTGTATGATTGCTCACTTCTCTACTGATTTCTTTTCCAGATCCCTTTGGCAGGCCTCCTAGCTTTGCCTCTCTGGGTGCCCTCTCCAATGGGGCATTTGGCGGCCTGGGCAACCCATCCTTCAGTGAGTATTTTTAAGAGAAGGGGCACAAGGCAGCTTTCTGTGGGTTATCAAAACTGCTAAGAAAAAATGGACCTTGTTTGTATACCAGCATTTTAAAAGGTGGGGAGGGGGAAGCAACCAAGGAGTATAAACTCCCCCATTACTTACTTGAATGTTAATTATTCATTCCAACCGCTGAGTTTCTTGTGAAGTCTTAGAGAACTATAGGCTCTGTTGCCATTTCAGTTGTCATCTTTCCCCTGTTCTGCAGTGGGTACCGGTGAAAAACAGACAGAAAAAAGATTGTTTATTTCGCTTTTTTACATGTCCACCACAGGGGTGGATTTCAAATTTTTTTTACTACCGGTTCAGTGGGCATGGCTGGGGGGGGGGATGTGACTTGAGTAGTAAAATGGTAGGGGGGGGGGTCCCAGGCTGGGGCTCTTCGCTGTCTCCCAGACACTGGGGGCGAGCCGAGCAGCCTGCCGATGGGCTTGGCCCTGGGCTCTCGCTCCATCTGCCTGGGAGACAGAGCCCAGGGAGGAAGATAACAGCCATTCAGACGGTACCGCCTGGCATCCTTTGGAGGCAACTTGCTGGGCAACTTATACAAGGCGGATGCGCACCCCACCCCCACCCTGATGCCCAGCACCTTTCACTTACACCTGCAGCGGCAGCTGCCGTGCACCTGCCCTCCACCTTCAGAGACAAGCGCTCCTCCTGGTGTGGCGGCTGTGCTTGCCTGCCCCTGGCCCACAGCCCCACCCCACCCAGGCAAGCGTGCCGCACCCCACACCCAGGCAAGCGTGCCGCACTCCACACCCAGGCAAGCGTGCCGCACCAAGAGGAGCACTTGCCTCCGAAGGATCTATCTCGCACCTGCAGTGTTCTTGGCTGGGTGGTGTGTGTGTATGTGTATGTGTGGTGAGGCTTTGGAGGTCGCGAGGCTTCAGGCCCAGAGCAGGCGAGCAAATCTGCACCAAGAGGAGCACTTGCCTCCGTTGCCTCCGAAGGCGGAGGGCAGGTGCACGGCCACAGGGAGCAGCGGGCGCTGCTGCTGTGGGTGCGAGTAGAAGGCGCTGGGCATTGGGGGGACGCACGTCTGCCTCATAGAAGTTGCCCAGCTCCATCGAGTAGCTAAAGCGCACCGCGGCGCATGGTTGGAGACCAGCGGGGATCCGGTTGCAGCAGCAGATGCAGTGGTGGCACTTGAGGCAGGCAGGCTGGGCTGGGCTGGCCGAGCAATCCCAGGCCCGCTATTTATACCTGCCGGCTGATGTAGCATCCACCTCCTCCCCGGCATGACAATTCCTCCCTGTCCCACCTCTGCCATTGTTTCCGGGCTGGCTTCCTAGACGGGCTTTGGGAGGGGCCCATCCCTCCCTGGGTTGCTGCCGGCGGGGAGGGGGGACTAGGCTAGCACGAATGCTGCTTACCTGTGTGTAGGCAGCCGCAGGAGCCAGGAGGAGGCAGTTCTGTCTTCTGTGGATCCACATGACGAAGATGAGGCAGGGCGAGCATTGGAGCAGGTGGCCGTGGCCAACCAGTGCAATAAAAATTGCTCAGTGTCAGGTTTCCTAAAAATGCCCTAATTGATTCATGCGTATCGAGCCAAGTTTCAATACAAAAGTAGTCATTTATTAGGAGCACCATTAGGCAAGACCTTTTCATAGTCAGATCTAAGCTTTGTTTGAGTTATAGCTGAACTTGACTCCTGTTCCTTCCCTCCCCTCAGTCTGTGTCATAAATCACATTGCCCAATGAGGTGCACCCCTCCCAAGCCTTCTGCAGTAATCTGAGATCTGACTTTAGCTGAAAGTACAGGTGAAACTTGAGAAATTAGATTATCATGCAAAAGTTCATTTATTTTAGTAATGCAAGTTAAAAGGTGAAACTAATATATGAGATAGACTCATTACATGCAAAGCAAGATAGTTCAAGCCGTGATTTGTCATAATCTCAGAAAATTAGAATATTACATGCAATCAATAAAACAAGGATTGTACATAGAACAATATCGAACCTCTGAAAAG